CACTGCTTTATTCATACTTTGTTTAGTGAAATTCCTTGAGATATACCGGGTTATGGTTATACTCAAGAAGACATTGGCAGTAGTCAAAGTAGTTTTGTAATCAAGTTTGATTAGTGAATTAAGCCCTCGTTGGAGAGAGGCGAAATCACCTTGGTGGATGGAATGGAGTAGTTTGAGATTAAACAAACCAGGATAAAAATCATCGTGTCATTTGCATTGATTTTTAAGATCCAAATTCAACCCCACCTTCTTATGTTTTTCATTTCTTCAATTAGCATCAGAGCGTCTGGTTTTGAGTTCAAGCACTTAACCGTGTCAGTAAAAGATCCAAGCTAAGAAAAACATTATGGTGGGACCAAGTCAGAACATTAACAATGACTACCATGATGATAAAGACAGAATCAGCGGAAAACCTCAAATCTTTGATGGAGAGAACTTTGATTACTGGAAAGACAGAATTGAAAGCTTCTTTTTGGCTCATGATACTGATCTCTAGGATATGGTAATTGATGGGTACATGCATCCTATAGATAAAAGTGGTCAGAAGATTGATAGAAAAATAATGTCTGATAATCAAAAGTATGACTTCAGAAATCATCCCAAGGCCAAAATGATTTTCTTGAGTTCCATCTCATATTCAGAGTATGAGAAGATCACAAACAGAGAGACAACTAAAAACATGTTTTATTCTCTGAGAGTGACGCATGAAGGCATCATGCAAGTAAAAGAAACCAAAGCCCTTGCGCTCATTCAGAAGTATGAAGCTTTCAAGATGGAAGAAAGTGAAACCATTGAAGCAATGTTCTCAAGATTCCAAATTCTTGTTGCTGGGATGAAAGTTCTGGACAAAGGGTATTAAACTTCTAATCATGTAAAGAAGATCATCAGAAGTCTACCAAAGTAATGGAGGCCCATGGTCACTGCTCTTAATCTGGAAAAAGATCTTAACAAGATATCTCTAGAAGAACTTGTCAGCTCACTCAGAAGTCATGAGATAGAGTTAGAAGATGATAAGCCCCAGAAGCAAGGTAAGCCTTTAACTCTTAAATCTAACAAAAAATATGATTCTAAAGTTTTGTAGGCTATGGAAGAAACCTCTGGTGGATCTTCATCAGAAGAAGATGAATTGTCTCTTCTCTCCCGAAGAGTCAATCAACTGTGGAAGCAGAGGCAAAGGAAGTTCAGAAACTCCAGAAGAACAGGGAATCAAAATGAATCATCTTCTGGATACAACAATTCTGAATCATTTTCTGGACACAAAGTCTGAATCTTCTTCTGGACACAAAAAGTCAAGCAACAGGGACATTGTCTGCTACGAGTGCAATGAACATGGGCACTACAAAAATGATTGTCCAAGGCTTCAGAAGGAGAAACCTAAGAAGAAGTTCTTCAAGGAGAAGAAGAAAAGTCTCATGGAAACATGGGATAACTCAGATTCTTCTGACGTAGACACAAAATCAGAAGATGAAAGAGCCAACATTGCTCTTATGGCCAACGTGACAGAAGATAGTGAATCATCTGAATCAGAATCAGACACAACAGAGGTATTTCCTGACTTTACTGTAAACTTTACTAAAGCTGAATTAGGAGAAAGTTTGAGTGAAATTCTTGAAAGATATCAGCAGCTTCGAGTCAAATTCAAGAACCTGAAAAAGGATCTAGTTTCTGACTTTGAGGAAACTGAGAATCTAAGATTAGAAAATTTTGAGCTAAAAGAAAAAATTTCAAAACATGAAAACGATTTACAAAACACTCAGAAGGAAACAATCTCAGAGGTTCCCAGTATCTCTGATAAGATCATAAAGGAATATGATCATAGCTTTCAGAAGTTCCTTGCTAAAAACATAGATAGAAGTAAGATGGCTTCAATGATCTATGGAGTTAGCAGAAATGGAAGAAAAGGTATAGGATACAAAGGTAAAGTATCCTAACCTAACAAAGCCATGAACTTAGTTATTAAACGCACTCCTTTAAAATCTAACTTTACCTATGGGCACACACATGACCTAAAATATACCAGTAATGATTTTTCTGCTAAACCAAAATTCAAACAGAATTTTGGTAACACTAGCAAACAAGGACCCAAAAAGATATGGGTACCTAAGGATAAAATTATATATGTAGTAGATATCTTTGAAAACAAGAATAAGACACCAATCATGGTACCTGTACTTTGGATGCTCTCGACACATGACAGGAAGAAATCACATATTCTAAAGTCTGGAACTTAAATCTGGAGGCTACGTAGGTTTTGGAGGCAATCAGAAAGGGAAGATCATTGACTCTAGAACTGTCGATAACGGTAACCACCCTTCTATTAATAATGTCCTGTTAGTAGATGGATTAATGCATAACTTGTTATCCATAAGTCAATTAAGTGATAACGGTTATGATATAATCTTTAATCAAAATTCATGTAAAGTTGTTAGTCAGAAAGATGGATCTATCCTATCTAATGGAAAGAGAAAGAACAAAATTTATAAAATAAAACTTTCTGAACTAAAAAGTCAGAACGTAAAATGCATACTGTCTATTAACAACGAGCAATGGGTCTGGCACAGAAGATTGGGGCATGTTAGTATGAGAAGAATATCTCAGATTAACAAACTCAATCTGGTCAGAGGACTTCCTAATTTGAAGTTCAGCTCAGATGCTCTATGTGAAGCATGTCAGAAAGAAAAGTTTGCAAAACCTCCTTTTAAAGCAAAAAATGTTGTTTCTACCTCTAGACCATTAGAACTTCTGCACATAGATCTATTTGGACCAGTGAAAATTGCATCCATTAGTGGCAAGAAGTATGGGTTAGTGATCGTAGATGACTATAGAAATTGGACATATGAAAAGTTCTTAAGACACCAGGACGAGTTGTTGTACCCCAATTTTTGACCTAAGATCCCATTTTTATTTTTGCAATTTTAAAGATAAGTCAAGGTCACGAAATACGGTCGGTTTTAACGTCTCCCCTTTCGAGCTTTGACTATGCAAAGATTGTCAAGTGTTTTGAACATTTTTAGCATATGTATCACTAATTTCTAATCGCATACCAAGGTGTATGTTCATGTTTTCTTTTGTTTCATGTGCAGAGACAAGTCTGAATCAAGAGCATCAGGTGTCGCGCCTCAATTAAGGTTTTGAGTCTCCCAAGCCAGAAGTACGGTTGATTGTGGATTCTCGAAGACTGATTCGTCAAGGCATAACCGTTGCACCCTTAATTTCGCCCCTAATTTTTTCATTCGCACCTTCATACCATATTTTGTCATTTTGGTCACGATCATTAGTAAATATCTTCATTCATCATATTTTGCATCATTAGTCGTATTTAAGTTGACTAGGAAAAGTCAGTTTAAATCAAAGTTTGCATCGTCTTTCAGCTGTAAAATACCCGACATTTCACTTCATTCATTTTATCTGTTTACTATTTTTCTTGCTCTGCTCCAAGTTGTTTATATGTCAATAATAAAAATATTTTGGTTTTATAGACAGACTGTTAAAAGCGATTCAATATTGTGCGAAAAGATAGCGAGAAAAGTATTTCAAGTTTTCACCTCTTACCGATCATTTTATGAATCTGCATGACGCGTAGACTATGACGGTATGCTCGCTTTATTTTTTCGGTATAGTTTGAAGTCTCATTTTTAACCGTAAATGTCCGTATTAGCCTGATATTTTATCATTTTATTTTTGACTTCTTGAATATTTTTTATTTAATCTTTGTGACATGTAGATTATTTTAATGTGTTCATTTTATTTTTTCGGATAAATTTTCGTCCATTTTTTTTATCATTTTCGGTCATTTTGGGTCTTTATTTTTATTCATAAAATATTCAAAAAAAAAACCATTTTTAATTGAGTTAATTTAAATACTTTCTGTTTTATTTCATTTTATCATTAAAAGGGTTTTTTTTTAGTCACAAAATATATTATTCACTCAATGCTCTCCCTCATATTTTTTCAATCCACACAATCTTTCCCCCCACAATAAAAAAAAACTCCCGCCTGCATACACCCATCACCATCCCATTATGCAGTACATAGTCTCTGCACCTATTCTTCCTCAGGGGGAACCAACCTCTCTCAAAAAAACAAAACAAAAAACAAACACAGTAACATCAATCCGCCTCCTCCCTCTATCATTATCCGCCATCTCCAATCTCCAATCAACAAAACACAATAATACTCCCTCTGTCTCCTTTGAACTTTTGACAGCATATCTCTATCCCTCACTCTCTCTCCCAAAAAAAAACTCTTCACCAAAATCCCTCTCACCACAACACAAACCCAACGCTCCATTTGTCGTGGCGAAACCATGAAACCTCTTACTTCAATCCTCTTCTTCTCATTTTGCATAATCGCTGCCTTCTCAGAACCAACGCCGGTAGTCACTGCTTCTGAACACCCTCAACCTAACCAAATTCAAATTCAGAATGCTGTTGGTGCTAACACTCGTGCTTACACTGTCACTATAAAGACAAGCTGTAAATCTCCATCTGGTACCAGAGAAGAATCCGCCGCTGTTTCCAATGCTCAAGTTCAGCAGCTACATCCTGCTGCCGGAGCTAGAAACCAAACTACCGGCACCGGCGGCGCTATTGAACGGAAAAACTCCATTCTCCCTTCGCCAGCAACTCCGCCTCTACTTTCTGCAAACGCACAGACCTCCCTCCTCACAACCGCAGCAACAACCACGACGAACACCGCTCAACTTCCAAACCACGGCCACCCTCCGTCAACCTCATCTCCTGATATTGGGCCAGAGCAAGTTCACCTTATGGAAAAGGCAGTTGATATCTTAGAATCAAAATAGAATCTTAAAATTCTACCAGTATTTGTTACCATTGATCCTCAACGCGATACCCCCTTCATCTCGCCTTGCAAACTTCAACACCAACGAACTTATCATCATCACCACCATCAAACAACTTCTGTTCACTATCATCTTCGCTGTAAACATCCATTCTTCTTCATAATCAATCTCCCTACGTTGCTTTCCTCTTCATCAAATGCAATCTCAGCAACTACTCTCCGCCAGTTACCGATTTCCACAACTATCTCCATCTCACTCTAATGTTGGGAAGAATATGCAAAATGAAGGACCTGGATCTTCCGAGAATGAAGATCCTGATTCTTCACGTCGTGAAGATGCCTCAAGCATCCATAACTTGCACACTCTCGGCTCTAATGTATCGAATCATGTTGTGGTTAACCCCAGAAGTAGCTTGAGATCTGCTGTAACGAAGTTAGTTTCCAGACCTGAAGATGAGCATTTACATTACAGTTCAAAATGTATGAGTAATGTCACCCATTCCAATGCTGCTAATTCGTCTCAGACTACTAACTGTTCTCCAAATTCCAAGGATGGCCTTAACACATCTGCTATGAAAGTCATTGATCAGTTTAGAGGATCAGATTTGACCAATCATTTTCCAATAGATGTTGGGAGTGATGTTGCTGGAAAATATAGTGACAAGGGTCTTTTTCCATATGATCTGTTTGTCAAGCTTTATAACTGGAACATAGTGGATTTCCAACCGTTTGGTCTTACAAATTGTGGAAACAGCTATTTTGCAAATGCTGTACTCCAGTGCTTGGTACTTACTCCACCCTTGACAGCATATTTGCTTCAAGGACTTCATTCTAAATCATGTGTGAATAAAAAATGGTGTTTCACTTGTGAGTTTGAAAGTTTGATTTTAAAGTCAAAAGACACAAAATCTCCTCTCTCGCCTATAGGTATACTCTCTCAACTACAGAATATTGGAAGTCAACTTGGTAATGGAAGAGAAGAAGATGCACATGAATTTCTAAGGTACGTGGTAGAAACAATGCAATCTGTCTGCGTTATGGAATGTGGGGTTGATGCATCAAACGCATCAAAAAGCCCTTCCATTTCTTCATCTTCATCCTCCTTCTCCCCCGCTTCCTATTCTGCTGTTTCCGCTCCCAACAAACATGGCCGCATCCTCGTTCTAACCTGACCCACAACAAAACCCAATCCACACACCGTCCGCGAATTCACCACCGCTCCAGCATCGACAGACTCCAAGTCAGGCAGAGACACAGTTAGTGGTAGTAGTATTAAAACTGCAGTTACATGTGAAGATATTGAAGAATCTGACTCTAAAGCTCAAGTTAAATCTGAACCATTATCCCCTAACAGGGCAGAACTGTGTAAATCAAATAAACCTCAAGCACTGGTAATAGAAGAAGAGAAGACGTCATTTTACTCTTGAACAAGATCTTGCGCGTCTATGGGAAAAGATGAGGCGTCACGAGGTTGCAAAAGAAGATCGATCTAGACATGCGTCAAACATTGTTCTCAAGCGGAAATAGATGGAGTATTTGAGGAGCTTTGTCCTCACTTTCTAACTCTAGCCTACAATGCGCATGCAGCTCACTTAGTAAAGAAGATGCTTGACAGTGCCTCGAAGAAACAGCTGGCAAGGTTTGTCTCTCTCACTCTCTGTCAATTTGTGTATTAGAGGATTTTTATTTCCTTTTTTCTTTCTTAATTGCAATACCACGTGTCAGCTATTAATTGGCTAATGGAAAAATTTGAAAAGTAAAAAACTCTAGTAATAAGGCATCAGCTCCGCCTGGGGTGTCACAATAACATTTTTTTTACTATTATTATATTTTATGGTAAATCAGGGTTAATCATTTAGTTTGGGCCTTGGGCCATAATTTCTATCTTTTTACTAATTCACACCAACACAAAAGCCCTGTACCCCCATGCTGTTTATTTTAGTTTTATTTCCTTAGTTAAATTTATTTAAATTAGGTTAGTTAGTTTCTTAGAAAGAAACATATAGTTTCAATTAGACGAATTTTAATAATTTTAGTTTAGAATTATTTTAGTAATTTTAAGTTCATTTAGGATTATTTTAGTAACTTTAGAATTATTTTTTAGTTATTTTAGATTTAACTTAATAACTTTAGAATTTTGATTTAGTCTTAGAATTTTAATCTTTAATTTAGAATTAATTTAGTTTAGTATTAATTTAGATTTATTTTATAACTTTTTGTTTTAGCTTTTGTTTAGTAAACTTTAGGATTTTATGTGTTGTAGTATTATTTTAGTAACTTTAGGATTTTATTTCATTTAGATTTGACTTAGTAAACTTTAGAATTTTATTTTGTTTTAGTTTTAATTTAGTAAACTTTAGAATTTTAGTTGTTAGTTTTAGTTTAGGGACTTTAGAACTTTATTCGATTTAGAATTAGTTTAATAAGTTTAGAATTTTAGTTGTTTAGAATTAGTTTAATATTCTTTTAGAATTTTATTTGATTTAGATTTAGTTTAGTAACTTTGGAACTTTTTTTGTTTTAGATTAGCGACCTTGGAATTTTTATTTAGTTTAGATTTAATTTACTAATTTTAAAATATTTAATTTTAACTTAGATTTAATTTAGTAATTTTAGAACTATTTTTTGCAACCTCAGAATTTGTAGTTAGTTTAGAATTTTTTAGTAAGTAATCTTAAATTTTTAATATAGTTTAAATAACTTCTTTAGATAATTAGTTATATTCTCTTTTACTTTATTTATTTAAATATCTTTGTCATTTCAATTTCTCGGTGCCTCTTGATCATTAATTTGTTTTTGTCAGATTTATTTTCTTGTGAACTTCTGAATGTTTATATTTTGATGTTCATTTTATTTTGCTTATTCCAAGGGAAATTTTTCAACTCAGTTGACTTCACGTCATCAAACACATCTCATCCGATTGCGCGAACCCCTTCATTCATTTTTTTGTTCGTTTAATATTTTGCTAAACTCAAGATAATTTTCCCAAAAGACTCCATTTTCAAACTCACACCCTTTTAAGTCAAAACTTCGACATTAGGTCGCTGTCTCTTCAAAATCTCTCCAACACCGATTTTTAGCCAAACGAACCATTTTAATCAAATAAACAATTTTAACCAAAAACAGATATTTCAAAAGGTTCCTGCGGAGTACCGCAGATGCATTGGGTGCTAATACCTTCCCATTGTATAACCAACCCCCGAACTCTCAATCTCTTTCAAAACACATTGTATTTTTTATTACTTTTAAGTATTATTTTACATTGCATATTTTAGGGTTTTATTTCGCTCTTTTCCCTTTTCCCTTGGAAACAATAAAGCGCGGTGGCGACTCTTGCTTTTGCGAGTCAAGTTAATTAATAGCTTGGTCTCCGATTTTCACTGCTACAGAATTGGCGACTCTGCTGGGGATAGATTGACGTCTTGCTGGTCCATCCTTAAGTGGGTTAAGCCTAATTTGTTTTATCTGTTTTATCATTATTTGATTGTTTGATTATATGTATATATTTTGATTATTTGGGTGTTGATAATATTTACAAAGGACAAGTCCTATACCCGGACTAAGTTACACTTAGGAATAGGACGGGCGGTATAGTCATGTTAACTTTGAGGGAGTAATTCCGAAGAAGGAGGCATGAGATCCCCCACTCAGTGGAAGGCCCTTTTGAACGTAATATTTGTTTACCGAGTAATCGGGAAGACATTATTATTTTCGACCTGGGAGCCAGAGAAGCTGGGAACCGTAGAACCCTAACCCATCTTGGCCTTTTAGGTGTAGCGCGGAGATTATAACAGAGTAATCCGAAAGTAATTGTTACGCGATGCTACGCTCGGATGAGTTTCTCTTGAGAATATTGCTGATTATTGAGTAATCAAGCCGTTGGTAATATCCGAAGGAGGAATGTAGACTCCGGGAACTCTTAGAATCTTGTCTTGCAGGTGTGATTAAACCGTTAGTACATACCTTGGGGATGTTTTTACCTTTGACTCCATGCTCGTGACGTTGAACCTTTCGACTTTATTCGTGACTTTGCTTGTGGTTTTTGAATAGCCATGCATTCATGCATCCATAAAACCTTTTTCACTTGACTTTGAAGGAATTTGGAGGTCTTTCTTTGTAAACATCACAAGTTTCGTCAAGCTCAATGGATCTTGGGTGTTGATAGGGCGAAAACCTGAATCCACCAAAATGGATGATTGATCTTGATGATAACTTGATCAATGTTTGGAGCCAATTTGAAATTCATCTCCTATCTTCATACTTTGATGTTTACAACTTAATATCTTGAGTTCTTTGAAAATCAAATAAAAACTCTCTTTTGCGTATCATACATCATTCTACATTTTTGTTTCACTTTCAAGGGTCTTTTTCCGAGTCTTATTTTTCCTTTGGTCTCACCAGTACAACACTCGCGCTAAGAGAACAATGGAGAATATCAAGCAAGAGATTTCTGAACTCCGTAGAGAGATGACTAATTTGAAAGCTAGTGTGGAGCACTTAACTGGTTTGGTTGAAATTTTGGTTGCCTCCCAAGTCAATCATTCTAGGAGGAAGGAAGCGATGATAAAAGTCTTCACTGAAACTCTAAAATCATTCTCTCATGACTTTCCTGACGAGGTGAATGTGGGAGTGCGTCTAGAAGAAGATGTTGGGAAGGGATGTTCATATGAAGATGGTAGCTCAGCTAATGGTGTGAAGAAGTTTGATAATAACTTTTCCAAGAAGAGAACCAGAGGAAGAAATAATCATCGTCAGAATCATCATGTTTCTCCTATTCATCAACAGAATCGGCAAGTTCCTAATCAAAGGAAAACCCAGTTTGATCCAATTCCAATTACCTATACAGAGTTGTTCCCTATCCTGATGCAGAGGAATTTTGTTCAGACCCGACCTCCACCGAAGGTTCCTGAGAAGATACATTGGTACTACAAAGCTGATTTGGCTTGTACTTTTCATCAAGGTGCTCCTGGGCATGACTTGGAGGGTTGCTTTGCTTTGAAGATTGAGGTTCAGAAGTTGGTCAGAAGTGGTATCTTGTCATTCAAGAACGTTGGTTTTGAAGTTCAAATCAAGCATGTGCCGAAGAGTAAACATGATTGATGGTCACTTTGAGTTTTGAATGATGTTTTCGGTAGTTCAAGTCCAGATGGAAAGCCTTCCCAGATTATTAACTTATTTATGCTTTTTGTAATTTTTCTTGTTTATCAAAACATTGTTTGCATGTAAGAACTTGTTTGCATCTGAATGATTATCTTAATACAATGAGTATGTTTGTCTTGAAGAAATTCATTCGTTTCACTCATATTTGTTTTCAAATTTTAAATTTCTTTTTGCATTATGATACCAAATTGTTGCTCATTCTCTTGCCTAGGCAGAGATTGAAGGGAGGATGATGATCTAAAGAACACAAAATCTCTGGTTGTTTGCTTTTGGATAAAATCTTGCTGATGATGTACAGGAATTGTTTCAAATCCCTAAACACCGGAGATATAAGGAAGATAATCCCTTTCTAACCCCTTTTGAGCCTTTGAAGCAGAAGTTTCTTTTTATGAAAAAACCTTGAATTTTAACCTGGGGCAGGGTAGTTTTAGTTAATCCGACTGAGTGTTCAAAATTCATAAGGAAGATGTTTTTTGAAGAGAAACTACGAGGGCTATCCTTCATGTATAATGAATCTAGAGAATGTGGAACCACAATGTTGTCCCTCATTCATCAAGAAATGAGGCAATCACAATCCTCTCAACAAGCAAAGACAAGCTAATGTCACACATTTTGTTCAAAAAGTCAAAAATCAAGAAAAAGAAAAGCCTACTAAGTCAAAAAACATGAAAACGTGTGACTTAGGAAAAATTAAGGCATCCCGCTGGACTATCAATTCAAAAGAATTAGTTCAGGCAAAAGTTAGGGAAAATAAAAATTGCAAAGAAAAGGACTGCAAAGAAAAGTCCTCAACAAAGAACAAATTGGTGACTACAAACACGAAGACATGAGGGCGGTTTCTACTCCGAAAGCCTCGTCGTTTCCTTGACCGTCACAAAATCCTTTTGAGAGATGAACACTCATGTTGAATTAACTGAACATAGGATTGGAGAACATCATGAAGGGGGTGGGCACCAAATATCTTGAGCCTTAAATCTTTTTTTTCTTCTAAAACCATGAACCAGACCACATTACAACCTTCAAAAGTCCTAATTGAAGCAAGGTTATTTTGAAAGCATACTTCAATGAGATAGTGTTCCTGACTCCCATGAATGTTCTAAATAGTTACATTTTTCCTATACAAAAATAAATGATGCTCTAACTCGCAAAATTTGTGCGATATCTTTTCAAAATCTTCAAGACTTACATAACTGTTGCATTAGAATTTTCATTCTCATAATAAAATTTTCTAACTGCAAAACATTTGTTTGATATCAAGGAAACTCACATATAAGCACCAGTGATGAGTCTATTCTTAAGGCTTGAAACTATGTTGAGTGATTGGCGAATCATTTCAAGAAAAAATCATATCCAGGGGCATGTCACCTGAAGACCGTAAGCACAAACATGTTGCTTCTCCCAGTTAATGCTTTCCCAACTTGTTTACCCTTTATTGGGGAAAAATTTGAAGACTTTGTTGTACCAACTACAGTCAATCTGGGGAAATCACGTCGAGATTCGATGAATCTCTCTAAGAGTTTGAAGACACCAGAGCATGGTGAATGCCAAGTCTTTTGTAAAATCCTCTTGAGACGATTTCTCCTCATCAACCATATAGCTTGGGGCATTTTAGAAGTGAAGTTATTCACAAGAATTATCGTGCAACATGCAGCTTATCAGCAGTAAACTTGGGGGCATCCAAAATTAGTCCCAGGGGCAATCCAGATTTGTTAAGATATGTGATATGTTTTGCACACATTATCAGAGGGTGGTGTTCCCAGTATCTCCAGTTAAGCATGTTTCTTTCCAGCTGAAACTTTGTTTGTGTTGTTATCCTTTCAATGGATTGTTTGCAATAGAAGACTGGACTTTGGGTTTTCTACCTGAAAATATCTTCCTCGATCTCCAGAGATATTTAAGCCTTGTAAAAGGACCTTGCTCCAATGATGGCCTGTGTTTTATCTCCAGTAATGTTCCCATCCTGTTGAGATTAGCCGAGTGTTGGGTTGTGCTATGATGTCTTATCATCTCCAGTTTATCTTGTCTATTTGTTTTGTCAGCACATACATGGCATTCATTTATTCATTCACACTTGCATCATGCACGCACAGTTGTATTTGTTGATGTCATTGAGTTCGTATACCTTGGTTGTGTCTATTCAAATAATGTATTTGATCTTTCCAGGTAGAGTGCCAACTTAAGCAGAAAGTGCGCCTTCTTTCTAATTCCCCACTGAGTTAACTCTCGTGGAAGAATCTTGCTTTAGCTTTCCTTTTCCATCTCTGGATAGGATAAATCCCCATTTGAGTTGTTTCCTCATCGGGTGGAGTCTTGTTTGACTGTTTTTCTCTCCAGTTTATTCCTGGATTGAGCTTTGTCTCTTGTGAATGATACCCTGTGGATATCTCTAGGCTATGAAACCTAGATGGAGAGTGAATTTATTTTGCAACGTAAAGACTTGGTCTCCTCAAGAAGGATTTATTCATGGTTCCCCATTGAAGATGAACTTTATTCCCCAGTAGTGTTATCACAACCTTCTTCTGGAATATCGACATGACAACAAGCGACTGACTCTTTATTTGAGCAGTTTGATTATTTCTGATTTCTCTGACAAATGGCGGTCTCTTCATGAGCAGTTTGTCCATCCCCGATGAAATTATTGGTTCTCACCTCTAGCAATATCTTCACGATATTTTATGGGTATCTTTTTGGGAAACAACAAGCGGCAGTCTCTTCATGAGGCAACTTGTGTGTTATGGATACTCTTGACAAACAGCAAGCGGCAGTCTCTTCATGGACAACTTGTATGTTATCAATACTCTTGACAAACAGCAAGCGTCAGTTTCTTCATGAGACAACTTGTGTGTTATGGATACTCTTGACAAACAGCAAGCGGCAATCTCTTCATGAGGCAACTTGTGTGTTATTGTCACCTTCGAAAACATCAAGCGGCAGTCTCTTCACGAGGCAACTTGTTATGTTATTAACAACTTTAAAAACAACAAGCGGCGGTCTCTTCATGAGCAACTTGTGTGTTATTGGTAATTTTGAAAAGAAAACAACAAGCGGCGGTCTCTTCATGAGCAACTTGTATGTTATTGATACCTTGAAAAAAAACAACAAGCGGCGGTCTCTTCATGAGCAACTTGTGTGTTATTGGTAATTTTGAAAAGAAAACAGCAAGCGGCAGTCTCTTCATGGACAACCTGTATGTTATTAGCACTTTTAAGAAACAGCAAGTGGCAGTCCCTTCATGGATAACTTGTATGTTATCAACACTTTTTGAAAAACGGCAAGTGGCGGTCTCTTCATGAGCAGCTTGTACGGAAAACGGCAAGTGGCAGCTTCTTCATGAGCAGCTTTGTACGTTAGTATTTTTGGAAGACAGCAAGTGGCAGCTTTATGAGCAGCTTGTGGGTTTTGGCAACAAGTGGCAGACTCTTCATGAGCGGCTTGTGTGCTTTAATATTCTTTGAAGACAGCAAGTGGCGGCCTCTTCATGAGCAGCTTGTATGTTATTGACACCTTTGAAATAAAGCAAGTGGCGGCCTCTTTATTTGAGCAGCTTGTATATCCCCAACAATAATGTCTACTCAGCAAATGGCATCCCTTTCGGAAAAGTCCCGTGGGGAAGTTTGTTATTTTATCCTTTTCAAGCGATATCTTGGTTAAAGAAGAAATGTGTTACCGTTCTTGGTAAAATTCAGAAATCAGAGATGTTTATCTCCAGCCACAGTGCTGATGTCAATCATTTTGTTTTCCAGCCACAATGCTGATGTCAATCATATGCTTTTCCAGTCTCAGTACTGATGTAAATCATTTCTTTTTCCAGTCTTCGTACTGATATAAATCATTTCATTTCCAGTCTCAACACTGATGTAAATCATTCAAAGAGTCTCTCATTTGAAGTCTATGACTCTGTTTCCCCAATGGAGTTACAACCTCTTCCTCTGTGGGATTACTGTATAATGTGCCTGGTTTCTCCAGCATAGTCTGTCTCGTATGGCGTTATTCCCCATAAAATTCAGAGCATTACATTCATATCATATCATGAACATAATCGCGGTATCTTAAGGCCAAAAATTGTGTATTCTATATTTAAGTCCCTTCAATCTCGTCGAAATGAAGATCCCCATCTTCATATCTCCAGATAGAAGAAACTTAAATAGGGGCAGCTGTTGTACCCCAATTTTTGACCTAAGATCCCATTTTTATTTTTGCAATTTTAAAGATAAGTCAAGGTCACGAAATACGGTCGGTTTTAACGTCTCCCCTTTCGAGCTTTGACTATGCGAAGATTGTCAAGTGTTTTGAAAATTTTTAGCATATGTATCACTAATTTCTAATCGCATACCAAGGTGTATGTTCATGTTTTCTTTTGTTTCATGTGCAGAGACAAGTCTGAATCAAGAGCATTAGGTGTCGCGCCTCAATTAAGGTTTTGAGTCTCCCAAGCCAGAAGTACGGTTGATTGTGGATTCTCGAAGACTGATTCGTCAAGGCATAACCGTTGCACCCTTAATTTCGCCCCTAATTTTTTCATTCGCACCTTCATACCATATTTTGTCATTTTGGTCACGATCATTAGTAAATATCTTCATTCATCATATTTTGCATCATTAGTCGTATTTAAGTTGACCAGGAAAAGTCAGTTTAAATCAAAGTTTGCATCGTCTTTCAGCTGTAAAATACCCGACATTTCACTTCATTCATTTTATCTGTTTACTATTTTTCTTGCTCTGCTCCAAGTTGTTTATATGTCAATAATAAAAATATTTTGGTTTTATAGACAGACTGTTAAAAGCGATTCAATATTGTGCGAAAAGATAGCGAGAAAAATATTTCAAGTTTTCACCTCTTACCGATCATTTTATGAATCTGCATGACGCGTAGACTATGACGGTATGCTCGCTTTATTTTTTCGGTATAGTTTGAAGTCTCGTTTTTAACCGTAAATGTCCGTATTAGCCTGATATTTTATCATTTTATTTTTGACTTCTTGAATATTTTTTATTTAATCTTTGTGACATGTAGATTATTTTAATGTGTTCATTTTATTTTTTCGGATAAATTTTCGTCCATTTTTTTTATCATTTTCGGTCATTTTGGGTCTTTATTTTTATTCATAAAATATTCAAAAAAAAAAACATTTTTAATTGAGTTAATTTAAATACTTTCTGTTTTATTTCATTTTATCATTAAAAGGGTTTTTTTTTTAGTCACAAAATATATTATTCACTCAATGCTCTCCCTCCTATTTTTTCAATCCACACAATCTTTCCCCCCACAATAAAAAAAAAACTCCCGCCTGCATACACCCATCACCATCCCATTATGCAGTACATAGTCTCTGCACCTATTATTCCTCAGGGGGAACCAACCTCTCTCAAAAAACAAAACAAAAAACAAACACAGTAACATCAATCCGCCTCCTCCCTCTATCATTATCCGCCATCTCCAATCTCCAATCAACAAAACACAATAATACTCCCTCTGTCTCCTTTGAACTTTTGACAGCATATCTCTATCCCTCACTCTCTCTCCCAAAAAAAAACTCTTCACCAAAATCCCTCTCACCACAACACAAACCCAACGCTCCATTTGTCGTGGCGAAACCATGAAACCTCTTACTTCAATCCTCTTCTTCTCATTTTGCATAATCGTTGCCTTCTCAGAACCAACGCCGGTAGTCACTGCTTCTGAACACCCTCAACCTAACCAAATTCAAATTCAGAATGCTGTTGGTGCTAACACTCGTGCTTACACTGTCACTATAAAGACAAGCTGTAAATCTCCATCTGGTACCAGAGAAGAATCCGCCGCTGTTTCCAATGCTCAAGTTCAGCACCTACATCCTGCTGCCGGAGCTAGAAACCAAACTACCGGCACCGGCGGCGCTATTGAACGGAAAAACTCCATTCTCCCTTCGCCAGCAACTCCGCCTCTACTTTCTGCAAACGCACAGACCTCCCTCCTCACAACCGCAACAACAACCACGACGAACACCGCTCAACTTCCAAACCACGGCCACCCTCCGTCAACCTCATCTCCTGATATTGGGCCAGAGCAAGTTCACCTTATGGCAAAGGCAGTTGATATCTTAGAATCAAAACAGAATCTTAAAATTCTACCAGTATTTGTTACCATTGATCCTCAACGCGATACCCCCCTCATCTCGCCTTGCAAGCTTCAACACCAACGAACTTATCATCATCACCACCATCAAACAACTTCTGTTCACTATCATCCTCGCTGTAAACATCCATTCTTCTTCATAATCAATCTCCCTACGTTGCTTTCCTCTTCATCAAATGCAATCTCAGCAACTACTCTCCGCCAGTTACCGATTTCCACAACTATCTCCATCTCACTCTAATGTTGGGAAGAATATGCAAAATGAAGGACCTGGATCTTCCGAGAATGAAGATCCTGATTCTTCACGTCGTGCAGATGCCTCAAGCATCCATAACTTGCACACTCTCGGCTCTAATGTATCGAATCATGTTGTGGTTAACCCCAGAAGTAGCTTGAGATCTGCTGTAACGAAGTTAGTTTCCAGACCTGAAGATGAGCATTTACATTACAGTTCAAAATGTATGAGTAATGTCACCCATTCCAATGCTGCTAATTCGTCTCAGACTACTAACTGTTCTCCAAATTCCAAGGATGGCCTTAACACATCTGCTATGAAAGTCATTGATCAGTTTAGAGGATCAGATTTGACCAATCATTTTCCAATAGATGTTGGGAGTGATGTTGCTGGAAAATATAGTGACAAGGGTCTTTTTCCATATGATCTGTTTGTCAAGCTTTATAACTGGAACAGAGTGGATTTCCAACCGTTTGGTCTTACAAATTGTGGAAACAGCTGTTTTGCAAATGCTGTACTCCAGTGCTTGGTACTTACTCCACCCTTGACAGCATATTTGCTTCAAGGACTTCATTCTAAATCATGTGTGAATAAAAAATGGTGTTTCACTTGTGAGTTTGAAAGTTTGATTTTAAAGTCAAAAGACACAAAATCTCCTCTCTCGCCTATAGGTATACTCTCTCAACTACAGAATATTGGAAGTCAACTTGGTAATGGAAGAGAAGAATATGCACATGAATTTCTAAGGTACGTGGTAGAAACAATGCAATCTGTCTGCGTTATGGAATGTGGGGTTGATGCATCAAACGCATCAAAAAGCCCTTCCATTTCTTCATCTTCATCCTCCTTCTCCCCCGCTTCCTATTCTGCTGTTTCCTCTCCCAACAAACATGGCCGCATCCTCGTTCTAACCTGACCCACAACAAAACCCAATCCACACACCGTCCGCGAATTCACCACCGCTCCAGCATCGACAGACTCCAAGTCAGGCAGAGACACAGTTAGTGGTAGTAGTATTAAAACTGCAGTTACATGTGAAGATATTGAAGAATCTGACTCTAAAGCTCAAGTTAAATCTGAACCATTATCCCCTAACAGGGCAGAACTGTGTAAATCAAATAAACCTCAAGCACTGGTAATAGAAGAAGAGAAGACGTCATTTTACTCTTGAACAAGATCTTGCGCGTCTATGGGAAAAGATGAGGCGTCACGAGGTTGCAAAAGAAGATCGATCTAGACATGCGTCAAACATTGTTCTCAAGCGGAAAGAGATGGAGTATTTGAGGAGCTTTGTCCTCACTTTCTAACTCTAGCCTACAATGCGCATGCAGCTCACTTAGTAAAGAAGATGCTTGACAGTGCCTCGAAGAAACAGCTGGCAAGGTTTGTCTCTCTCACTCTCTGTCAATTTGTGTATTAGAGGATTTTTATTTCCTTTTTTCTTTCTTAATTGCAATACCACGTGTCAGCTATTAATTGGCTAATGGAAAAATTTGAAAAGTAAAAAACTCTAGTAATAAGGCATCAGCTCCGCCTGGGGTGTCACAATAACATTTTTTTTACTATTATTATATTTTATGGTAAATCAGGGTTAATCATTTAGTTTGGGCCTTGGGCCATAATTTCTATCTTTTTACTAATTCACACCAACACAAAAGCCCTGTACCCCCATGCTGTTTATTTTAGTTTTATTTCCTTAGTTAAATTTATTTAAATTAGGTTAGTTAGTTTCTTAGAAAGAAACATATAGTTTCAATTAGACGAATTTTAATAATTTTAGTTTAGAATTATTTTAGTAATTTTAAGTTCATTTAGGATTATTTTAGTAACTTTAGAATTATTTTTTAGTTATTTTAGATTTAACTTAATAACTTTAGAATTTTGATTTAGTCTTAGAATTTTAATCTTTAATTTAGAATTAATTTAGTTTAGTATTAATTTAGATTTATTTTATAACTTTTTGTTTTAGCTTTTGTTTAGTAAACTTTAGGATTTTATGTGTTGTAGTATTATTTTAGTAACTTTAGGATTTTATTTCATTTAGATTTGACTTAGTAAACTTTAGAATTTTATTTTGTTTTAGTTTTAATTTAGTAAACTTTAGAATTTTAGTTGTTAGTTTTAGTTTAGGGACTTTAGAACTTTATTCGATTTAGAATTAGTTTAATAAGTTTAGAATTTTAGTTGTTTAGAATTAGTTTAATATTCTTTTAGAATTTTATTTGATTTAGATTTAGTTTAGTAACTTTGGAACTTTTTTTGTTTTAGATTAGCGACCTTGGAATTTTTATTTAGTTTAGATTTAATTTACTAATTTTAAAATATTTAATTTTAACTTAGATTTAATTTAGTAATTTTAGAACTATTTTTTGCAACCTCAGAATTTGTAGTTAGTTTAGAATTTTTTAGTAAGTAATCTTAAATTTTTAATATAGTTTAAATAACTTCTTTAGATAATTAGTTATATTCTCTTTTACTTTATTTATTTAAATATCTTTGTCATTTCAATTTCTCGGTGCCTCTTGATCATTAATTTGTTTTTGTCAGATTTATTTTCTTGTGAACTTCTGAATGTTTATATTTTGATGTTCATTTTATTTTGCTTATTCCAAGGGAAATTTTTCAACTCAGTTGACTTCACGTCATCAAACACATCTCATCCGATTGCGCGAACCCCTTCATTCATTTTTTTGTTCGTTTAATATTTTGCTAAACTCAAGATAATTTTCCCAAAAGACTCCATTTTCAAACTCACACCCTTTTAAGTCAAAACTTCGACATTAGGTCGCTGTCTCTTCAAAATCTCTCCAACACCGATTTTTAGCCAAACGAACCATTTTAATCAAATAAACAATTTTAACCAAAAACAGATATTTCAAAAGGTTCCTGCGGAGTACCGCAGATGCATTGGGTGCTAATAACTTCCCATTGTATAACCAACCCCCGAACTCTCAATCTCTTTCAAAACGCATTATATTTTTATTACTTTTAAGTATTATTTTACATTGCATATTTTAGGGTTTTATTTCGCTCTTTTCCCTTTTCCCTTGGAAACAATAAAGCGCGGTGGCGACTCTTGCTTTTGCGAGTCAAGTTAATTAATAGCTTGATCTCCGATTTTCACCGCTACACGAGTCACACTCTATGTTCGTTGCTTTCTGTAACCAAGTCCAAAATGAGAAAGATCTTAGAATTGTCAAAGTCAGAAGTGATCATGGTGGAGAAATTTAAAACAAAAAATTTGAAATATTTTTTAATGAGAATGGCATCTCTCATGATTTCTCTTGTCCTAGAACTCCCCAACAAAATGGAGTTGTAGAACGAAAGAATAGAACTTTACAAGAAATGGCCAGAACCATGATCAACGAGACTAACATTTCTAAGAACTTCTGGGTAGAAGCAATTAACACAACATGTTAAATTCATAATAGAATCTCCATAAGACATATTCTGGATAAGACTCCATATGAATTGTGGAAGAACAGAAAGCCCAACATTTCATATTTCCATCCATTTAGATGTATTTTTTTTATGCTTAACACCAAAGAACATCTGAACAAGTTTGACTCTAAAGCATAAAAGTGTATTATGTTAGGATACTCTGAATGCTCAAAAGGCTACAGAGTATACAACACAGAAGCACATATTGTAGAAGAGTCAATCAGTGTTAGATTTGATGACAAGCTTGGCAAAGTCAAAGCATAATGAATCTCTTGCAGATATAGAAGTTCAGTTCACAAGTACTAAAGGAAATACATCAGAAGTTCCCAACAAAGACTCACAAAAAACATCATAAGGAAATGTCACAAGAACTACTGCAACTTCTAAAGAACCTCTCTAGAAAAGACTATCCAGAAGCAGTCTAGCTCACCCTGAAGACAAAATACTAGGAAAGAAGGAAGATCCAATCAGAACACGATCCACATTCAGAAATTCTGAAGAATCCCTCATGGGATTGGTATCTCTGATTGAGCCAACTACCATTGATGAAGCTCTTCTGGGCAACGACTAGATACTGGCTATTCAGGAGGAATTAAATCAATTCACCAAAAATGACGTATGGGATCTAGTTCCCAAACCAAAAGGGTTCAACATTATTGGAACAAAATGGGTATTCAGAAACAAACTGAATGAACAAGGAGAAGTCATCAGAAACAAGGCACAGCTGGTTGCAAAAGGTTATAGTCAGCAAGAGGGGATATACTATACAGAAACCTTTGCTCCAGTCGCCAGGTTAGAATCTATCAGACTCTTAATTTCTTTTGCTGTGAATAATGGAATCACTCTCTATCAGATGGATGTCAAAAGTGCATTCTTAAATGGATACATTGATGAAGAAGTTTATGTGCACCAACCCCCTGGGTTTGAAAATTCCAAAAATCCAGAATATGTTTTCAAACTAAAGAAATTACTATATGGTCTGAAACAAGCTCCCAGAGCTTAGTATGAAAGACTAAGTAGGTTTTTGTTAGAAAAGGAATTCACCAAAGGGAAAGTGGACACAACCTTATTATGTAAGTCATTTAAGAATGACATTTTAGTTTGTCAAATTTATGTAGATGATATAATATTTGGATCTACTAAAGCTTCTCTGGGAAGAGAATTTGCTAAGTCTATGCAGGCAGAGTTCGAAATGATCTTGATGGTAGAACTCAAATTCTTTCTGGGCATTTAGATCAATCAAACTCCAGAAGGAACCTATATACACCAGAGCAAATACGTCAAAGAACTTCTGAAGAAATTTGACCTATCAGAGTGTAAGCCATCTAAGACTCCAATGCATCCCACATGCATTCTGGAAAAGGAACAGGTAAGTAAAAAGGTAGAACATAAGATCTACAGAGGTATCATTGGTTCTCTCTTATATCTTACAACTTCAAGACCTGACATTCTATACAGTGTATGCTTATGTGCCAGATTCCAATCAGATCCTAGAGAATCTCACTTAACAGCTGTTAAGAGAACTTTCAAGTATCTGAAAGGTACTACTAATCTTGGTTTGTTTTATAGAAAAACCAGTGAATACAATTTAGTAGGGTACTGTGATGCTGACTTCGCTGGAGACAGAGTAAAAAGAAAAAGCACTTCTGGAAGCTGCCAATTTCTGGGAGAAAATCTGATCTCATGGACCAGCAAGAGGTAATCCACAATTACTTTGTCAACAACTAAAGTTGAATACATAGCAGCTGCTGGATGCAACACACAGATGCTCTGGATGAAGAGTGAGCTTGAAGACTTCAACATATTCGAGAGTAACATTCCTATATTCTATGATAATACTTCTGCAATATGTTTATCTAGAAATCCTATTTTGCATTCTAGGGCTAAGCATATAGAAATAAAATAGCACTTTATTATGGACTATATTCAGAAAGGAATCCTTTCCTTAAAATTTATTGACACAAACCATCAATGGGCTGATGTATTTACTAAATGACTTTCTGAAGATAGGTTTAATTTCATTCTGAAACATCTCAGCATGAAAGTATATCCAGAATAAGAGTTTTATTTATATATTCATTAACCCTCTGAATTTTATGTTTTCTTTGTGAACATCTGATCAACAAGTCTTCAGAAGTTAAAAGTACAGTTGCATCAGAATCTATCTAAGATGATCTGAACGGTTCATTTCAAAGATAGAGGCGTGCATTTCACATTATGAACATATGTCATCCTCTCACAAGCGTCCTTCTAAGGCTTAACACACGTTCAAATTCTGAAGGGTCTAAGACTTTGATTGGTTGCATTGAGACGCATGTCATTGGTAACTGTTTCTTATCTCCATGCCATCCCCTATTTTCAGGATTCATAATTACTGTGTAACCATTAATATTTTTCTCCTTCTTATTGATTAAGTTTTCAAATTGATTATAAATACACACTCACTATCACTTTCACTTCTTCTGGTTCCTATTT